AGTATGGATACTATGGATACCTGAATTGCAAGACTACAAAATATTAAATTAAAGTTTTTGCACCAACATTTAGGATAAGATAAAGCAGCTGAGTATGGATACCTGAATTGCAAGACTACAAAATATTAAATTAAAGTTTTTGCACCAACATTTTTGGAGTGTAGGATAAGATACACATAATGTACTGTACATTGTTGACCAATAAATCAACCTAACTTTCCTCATAATTTATCCACATATTCAAGTAGCAAAATATCAGCTTGTACTTGCACAGTAATCCAATTGCATTTGGGCATTAGAGGGATCTGAAATTAAATTGCATCCCAGATACTTTCTAAAACATTTAGGATAGGCTACAAATTCACCAAATGAACCATGCGTAACTTATCATGCATTTGCTCATGCAGATAATGGAGCCAGTTCAAGCAGTTCTGCAATTTGGAGAATTTATTTTCAAAATTTCTCCAAAAAGAATTTTATTAAATATAAAAGCAAAAATCTAAAGGACTGGTGAAACCTATAATTTGGGCTAAAAAGACTGTTAGTTCGAATACTACAACTAATAAAAAAAGTAAAAATAAAATAAAATAAGCTATGATTTACTAAACAGACAGGTTGGTTCACAATCACACTGCACTGAATTTTATATATTCCTAGCTACATTTTTTGTTGGGTAAACAAGGTAAACATTCCTGAAAGAAAACGGATAAATAGGCTAAACCACATTTTTGTATCAAATGTCTTAAGCATTTTCAAAAAAAAAAAACTCTTTATATATTCAAATACAAATGCAAGATAAATAAATTATTAGATAATATATACAAAAACATAGTATTTCTTTAATACAAATCAACTAGAAAAAAAAGAGAAGCAGACTGGGATTACTCAGCACTGCAAAGTAAAATAATCCTAAACAAACGGAGATAAATAAATAATCCTTTTTCATCTACTTTTCTGAAAAGCCATTCATAAGCAAATCATTTTACACTATATAATTATTGTATTAACTCACATCTAAAAATCCAAATCTAATTAGTCTCCAGAAATAATATTCCATACCACTGAAGTCAATCACAAAACTGCATGCATAAATGTATACACAGCCCAAACCAAAATGATCCAAAGCTAAACCACCTTTTTAACATGACGCACTGTGACAGTGGTAGGCAGAGGAATGACATGAAACAGAACTTCAGTCAGTAAACTGCTAGAGGAGCTTCGTATACAGCAAGGCCTCTGCAGCCAACACTGAAAATGGCGGGTAAGTGTGGGAGGGGAAGGGGCGGATCCTAACTTCCACACACCTCCCTTTCCCGCTCTTTGCGTAACAGCGAGTCCACGGAGGGACGTAGTGAGCTGCTTAAGGTCTAGATGGACGTGGAGGTTCCTCAAGTCAATGAAAACATCCTGGCAACGAAGTTAAGGAGCTCAGCTTGGTGGCCGTGTAGAAAGCTATGGGTGCCGTCGGAGATACCCGACCAGACGAGGTGGTTCCAGGCGCTGAATGGAACAGCAAGGGTTAAGCCATAAATCAAAGTGGTGTAGAGAGTAGCAGCGATGGTGAGACAACTTCACCAGAAATAACAGACGTCCCATCCCCCCTTTTTCCTGCTTTCTTCTCACTGTTTCTCGTTCCCTCTTTCTACACTCCTCCCTGTGGAGCTTTCTGCTCTGCATTACCTGATAGGCCTTCCCTCCCCCTCGCCACTCCGCTTTTTTCCCCTTGCCCTATTCCTCTGAGAGGTGAAAGGTCACTCCCCAAACTTAGCAATCAACACATGCTGATGCAACCCGTAACATACCAGAAGAAGAGAGTGAGGGGCAATATACTGCTTACTGCCGGCCCCAGCAATACAGTCGTATAACAATGAAACCAATAAAAATAAATCTCACGCCTCTAAAAGGTGCCTCTTGCCATTGAACACTGGTGTTGGCCAATAGCATGGCAGTAGCGGACACTATCTGTATTAAACCGTCAAAACTGGGACTTGGGCGCTTAG